TAGTATAATCACATAAATCAGTTAATTAAAATAAATAGTTTACACTTCTTTCTGCAGTGGAGATGAGATTTGGTGCAGCGCGTTGCAATGCCAATGAGTGTGAAGTTAAACTTGACGTACTTTGTAAATTATGCACAGATGGGTGCAATAAGTGTAACGGCACACCGACGTGTATTCACAATAACCCGGAAAACACTTGTGCTTGCTGTATTAAAAAACAATGCAACATGACATGTCCCAAAAAGTGTATTAGCCCTAATTAATCATATTCACCCAATTAATATATAATTAATTGGTTGCTTAATGAATTCCTCCTTTTTAATGTATTCGACATCAACAACTATCCTTTTTTTAATTATATGACCATGTCTTAGAAGAAGCGCAAGAAAATAAATGATGTATATTTGTAATTTAATTTTCCACGTGTTTGTTGATTGTTGGATCAAATATGTATGAATCTATATTTATGCAGCATCAATAAAATATTTTTTTTATTCATCTCTTATTTGTGTGTAAACATTAGTATATCATTGAAAAATCATATATTGAAGTGGACTTGGAAATTTATATTCTGTACAAAAATGTTAGATCCTTTCTGAAAGATATATGCGCGACTTAANCTGAATAGCTAACTCAAATATGCCATATTTCAACCTTTTATTTTAAAAAAAAAATAAAATAGTAATTATAAAAGAAACAAATTGACCGGTAACGTTGACTAAGAGAAACCATCATACTACATGCAATTATATGTAATAATAGTGCTGAATTAGGAAAATACAGTTATAATGTGTGAAGTTAAAATAAAATTGAATTGAATAGAATGTTTGAATTTGAGATGTGGATAGATTAGAAAAATGCAAAGCCAAACTTTACTCAGGGTTAGGCACTTTTTTAATAATGGGCCGCTTTCCCTCTTTAATTGTGTTGGGCCTTCAGAAGGCGATTTCATAAATTACACAACAAACCCGAATTAGTTGGACTGTTGATAAAAAACTCAATCGTTATGGAGAGTAAATAAGAAACAAAATCGTTTTATTAATTAGTGTTTGAATTTCAATTCGTCGCAATTAAATGCATAAATCAAGTAATTAATGAAAACTATTGCAAAATATTAATCCACAAATAATGCAACCAATCGCAACTCTTTAAATATTTTTAAAAAGTGTTGAAGCTATTTAAAAATAAATGTTGAAGCTATTTTTAATATATTTCTTATTTATAAAGTAAAAGTCAAAGTTACTCTTTTAGTTTTATACTTTTATGATAGAAGATTTCTGCTGGAATAATTAACTAGATCCACATGTAAAATTTATTTGGCATGTCAATTTTATATTTTGTATAAAAATTATTGATAGAAATTATTTATAAATATATTTGTCATTTAATTTATTCATAGAAAATTAGAGCATTTTGCAGAGCTATGCTCTTAGTTAATGACTTTGAAAAGGTTCCGTGTAAAAGATAATTAGAAATCAAAAGTTTGATTTCTTTTTATTTGAATATTTCAAATCAAAATCAAAATTCTGCTTAAGGGACTTAAATAAGATAAAAAATGATTTAGTTAATCTATACTAATATAAGTTGTTGGTAAATTAAATTCAAATCTATTCTAGAATCGTGTGCAATTTTTACAAGAAAAAAATGTGTGCAACTTTTTAAAATTTGAATGCACCGATAGTTTTTTGGATTCTTATATTTTTTCTTGACAATGTTTTACCGAGATTTAGTAAGTTCATATAATTATTTTGTTAAGGTCGTATCAATTTTTCTAGGAAAGAAACAGTTGCATAAATCTTAACAAATTATTTTATTCAATTCAATTTGTTTGGTAAAAAAATTAGTGCAATGTTAGGAAAATTTGGTTGCAGTTTTATGAAAAATTGATAATTCTTTTCACTTTGTTTTAACTAAATATTTGAATCAATTTGTTTCATAAAAAAATCTATATATTTGTAAGAAAATTCAGTTTCATTTTTAGGAAAAATGATTCTTTTCAATTCTTCTTAATCAAAATTTTGAATTAGAAATTAAGTTGAATAATATAAATGGATATTAAAAAAATGATGAATTTTCTATTTTTTTTAAAAAAGAAAAAGATTAGAGCGGCATGGTTACATTTTATCATTATATTATGAAACATTAGATAAATGTTTCATACATAATATATATGTTAGCTCTCCTCTTATATAAAAAAATGGTACATCAAACCACGTACATTAATAGCAAAATATAGTTCGACACTTGTACTATACGAATGTCGAAAAAAAAAGTAATTATACAGTAAATAATGATTAATTTTTATATTTATATTTTAAATTAAAATTAAATATTCAGCGACACATTTACTTTACTTTCATTCGTGTTGCAACACAAAAATTTAAAGCTTTTGTTACTTTTAACTTTGAATATTGGTACACAATTTTTTTGTGGTTTGAACAAAAATAATTATTGTCGTTACAATACAAACTTTGGATATTAATTTTAAGATTAGTGATCAAATATTGTCAGTACTTAACAATATATACATGTCGATAGGGGCATTTGAATGAACCCTTGAGCTTTGCATTTTCTTGACATATTTTACTGGTTATGTATTA